TCCTTATATTTGCTGGCAATTCGTTAAAAATCATGGCTGCTGAATGCTGAAAGGTGCCTTGTACAAATGGAATATAAAGCCTTAAAGCAACACTAGAACGGAGATGGCTAACGGGTTTTACGACTTGCAAATTTAAATGGGAGGGCCAGTTATCAGAATACAGTGCTTCAAAAATAGTCTTTAGTAGCGAGTAGTCCCTTAGCTCCAGGATAGGTAGCCAGCCAAGATCCAAAATGATAGATATACCGGTTTACCTATTTACAAGTGATGAAACTAGCCATAGCGAACTGGAGCCTTTGTAGTCTAGCTGACAGGAACTTTGGTAGTGGATAATAAACAATGTCGCAATAGCTTATTTGAGACAGAATTAATGTTTCTACCAAATGTTCCCGCAGTTTAAAATTAGTAGAGTTCCTTATTTTTCTTAAGGTTCTCAGAGTCGCATAAGATGATTTAAGAATAGAACTGATATGAAATTCCCATTTAAGATTTGAGTCAATGTGTATTCCCAGGAGTTTTGTAACATTTATACGTTCCAGTGGTTTACCGGAGATTTGTAATCCCAACTCCAGATTTCCGAGAGAATGTAAATGAGCCATCTGTGGATAATGTACTTTGAGCCATCTGTGGAGAATGTACATGAGCCATCTGTGGAGAATGTACTTTTAATCCATCGTTGTAAAAGAGAAGCTGAAGGCATGATCAAATATGTACACTGTAAATGTATTTTCCTTGCGGGGATTCTGCTCAGACTGTTTTGGTGCTGTCCTTTCAAAGTACGTTTGGTTTGTATACATTCGGCAAGGAAAAGCGAGCAGGGTCGACGGATTGGTTGGGAAAAGTTTTGAAAAGGAAATGAGTCTTCAAATGATAATCAGCCTTACGAAATCAGCAAATCAGCCTTGCGAAACTTACAGAATGACGTTCTACGTGACTTATAAAACCAGCAAAGCGTGAGACACTATGATAAATCATATGACTGAGTTCTTCAAAAATTAAACGGGCAAGCAACGCCTTTGCCATTATTTTTAAATTTTATATATAGTTTTATTCTTGGTTGTTACAGCCTAAGCGTATTCAAGATCACTTTGATTTAATTGGATACGAAACTAAAACAAAAAAAAAAGTTGCATATCGTGGGAAATTATTTGAGTACCATAGTCTATCCACCTACCCTGCGAAACATAATTATTCCATATGGGTTTGCGGACAAAAGCTTGTGCAAAATGCTCCAACCAAACAGCAACAAACTTTTAGCTCCACCAAAATAGTACATTCAGGAATACACTTTTAAATTGTTTCACTGAAAACTTTCGACGATATCTGC